ACTCTGCTGTTATATTAGATTTTAAAACTGTCTGTCATCTTATCCCACCTTATTGTATGTTTGAGTGTCAGTAATTGCATGTAGTGCTTGCTGTAGCTGAACTGTTCTCCAGGTTTCTTATCTTATTATTGAGGTTAGCAAATCTAGATTTTGCTGCTAGGATTTTGTGCTCCACTGCTCTGACTGCCCCTGTTCTACTATTTTGACCTATGAATTATTTGACCTGACAATCACTGCAGGTAGAATATTAGATAAACTAAATTGTTTTGTTTAATAGAATGTTCCACAGGATCCTCTAACCAACAAAGCTTATTTCTCATTGGGTTTTTGGGGGTTTGATTGTCAGCCACTTTTATTTTCACATTGTTAAGCAATCTCCGTAACGTTTCTGATGTTCCTTCATTTCTCTTGGAAGTACTACTGATGACTGAAATTCTTCATTGTTGGTGCTGTCATCATTCTGTGCATGTTTGGCATTATTGTTATTTTTTGTTATTAATTTTATTTTTACATTTTCCTACATACTTCCTGATTAATTTATTATCAGGGTAATTGTTACTTTTCAAAGCTTCTCTTATATGCCTCACATCCTGGCCTAGATTTTCCTTGTTACTATTTAGTTTTTGTATCCTGTTGCTTACATATGTCATCAATTCTATTTTTACTGGCATAAGATGGGATGATCAGAAGTCCAAATATCGGTTTGAATGTGTGTGGTTATCCAGTAAACATTATTGTTTCACTATACATCTTCTTTCCTTTTTTATTCTACAATCTAACTTTGAAAGCTCCACTTCCTGACTTTCCAATTCATAAATGAATTGAATTGACTCTACCCTCGAGTTGATATATTCAAAAAATTGACTTATATCCTGTGTTTTAAGTACAGCGAATGTATTCTCCACATATCTCCACCATAACTGAGGCGGTGTGGTTACAGTCGCAAAGTTTTCCACCTGTTTATGAATATACCTGCCACCAGTGGAAATATAGACGACCTCGTTTATTGAACTTTTAGATTTAAGTATTTTTTTTTGACTTTGTGAATGCTGCTCATTTGGTATTGCTAGATGACTGTATTATATGATCATAAACCATATGCTGACGACCTGACTGTATCTTTGCCTGTCAAATGTCAAAATGACTGATCTAAACTAACTAAATGGCTTTCTGTCAGAAATCAGCCAGTGGTCCAAGGAAAACGGTCTTACCTTAAACCCCTCCAAATGCCAAACAGTCAATTTCAACTTTTGGCATAAATCCGATCTAAACAAACTGGTTAGCTCTCATGAGGTGTCCAACATAGATGGCACTTGAATAGAAACCAAGTCGGAAATTAAATACCTAGGCGTCATTCTATCTGCTGATCTTTCCTGGTCGTCTCATATCTTGGCGATTTCTAAGAAAATATTCCGTCTTACCTTCTACATCAAGAAGTTAAGACATTTGGGTATAACCCAACCCTTACTCCTACAATTCGTTAACTCTCGCATTCTGCCTATTATTCTCTATTGTTCCCCATTAGTTTTTCCAGGGCTACTGAAGAAAGACTATAACATATTACGCAGGATGTTAAAGGTTGTCAGCAGGGTAAGCAACGTGCCACTTAACCAGCCTGTTAATATTCTGGTTGACAGGCACATGGACTCATGTGAAAAATGGGCCAAATCCATTTTACCTAACTCACACCACCCTCTTCACTCACAACTCTCCCCTTGCATCTCATCAGGTAAAACAAGAAGCCAATATAGAAAACTATATGCTCGCACTAGCAAGTACAAAAACTCAACCATTCCCTACTTAGCTCGTGTTGTGTGCGATAAAGAAAGCATTAGGCGTGACACCTATAATTCATTAAATAGTCAGTAGAACAACTGGATCTCGTCTTTCCAACCCACATCATCAATAGGTACAACATTTTCTTTCTTTCTTTTCCTTTTCTCTCTCTCTTTTTCTCTATTTTCCGTTATGTACTGCTTTGTTTCTTTCTTCCGCTTACACCAGTAAATATGACAGCACCAACTTTTCTAACACCTTCAAACACTGTTCAACTTTGGGTTTGCTACCGACATGCCAAAATGTTGTTGTCATAATGAACTGAGATTTCCTTAATCTATGTAGAATTTTATTTATTGATAATGTACTAACTGGATGCAATACTGTAGTGAAATGCTGAGAATTCCATTCTGTATCACAAGTACTGTTTTGGAATAAAGTAAATTATTATTACTGGTAACTATCTTCATTAATTTATGTTTGAACTGTTCTTTTTCACTTCCGATATAATGGAACCTTTTAGCGATTCTGTGGGTCTCTTCTTTTAAGTATACTTTTGGTAGACTTAATATTCTGGTTCTTACTTTGTCTGTCGGGTCTGGAGCTCTTAGGCGTAGTAGGTATTTTAGGAATGATTTCATTTTTCAAGCATTGCATGTTCAAAATATGATGACTTTTATATCTTGCCTCAGTTTGTGAAAGGCATTCGAAACGTCATCCAGTAAACAGTACTACTGTTTCACACTGTGTGATATATCTAATAAACAAGTTAATATGGACTTGACGAATTTCCAACGCCTCCGCCATACACAAATGCCGAAACCTGACTCTGTTTGTACCATTTTTACTCTCACCTTGAAGATAATCTCTAAAGACGACTGTGGTTGAGCTGCGTAGCTTGAGTTCATCAAGTTCTCGAGAATTGAGCTAGTAACTATCTTGCATTGTCCTTTTGCTAACCAACCATGCCGGATAATGTTCAGAGATGCCTTTGGGAAGTGTGTGTACTTTGTGCGGCCAATGTAAATAGCTCCACACGAGCAGGTGAATTTATGAAAACACAGTGAAAGGGCCCAAAGCGCCCATTGATCATTTGCCGGCTTTGCAAACTATTCCATAGCTCAGCCGAAAAGAAGGCTTTTCTCAGTGATTTGGCTAAGCAGTGGTTCTTCAGAATCTCAGTCGCAGTATGACCTTTAAATTCAACATTCACAATTATCACTTTCTTCGGCATCGTCTGAGTTCTTTCGGGTTTTCTCTTTACTTTTAATGTTTTTCTTGATGAAATATTTGAAGAATATCCATTTTTCATCAGGAGTGGTCTGAGTCCCTCGGTTCATCATCAATTTTATTACTGGTACACATGCAGTTATATACTACTAACAAACAGAAAGTAGTTATTTGATACAAGTTTGAAAGACGACTTTAAAAAATTTTCGTAATTGAGTTAACGGCAGGAAAAGGACTTATTAACCGACAACATACAGGGAAAAATGGAAGATTATGTAATAATGTGCAATTAGGCATTTAGAAGTGATTTGAAATCATTTAGGCGAGTTCAGATCAATGGATCACAAAAAGAAAGATCATAGTAATATATCAATATTGATGAGAGTTGTAAAAATTCTAGTAAGTTAGAATAAGTAATCACTGAATAAATAGGCGAAAGTTGTTATAGGCATAAACTCAGACTATTCATTGTTTCTCCTTGTATTCTTCTTACATATTGAGTGACCGGTGTTGAATATATGTTCAGTTATAGCACTCCTTATAGATCCACTGTTACTTATTCGTAGCCAAGCGGGATCATATTCCTTGATTTGTTCAGATAAAACACGTATTGACCTACCTATATGTCCTTTTCGCTCAACATGAGCAAGTAAATCAATAGATGTACATAGAAGTGGTCAAATGCGATGGTTTATCTTTCGAGTTGTTGAAGAACAGTAGGCGGGATGAGAATACCAGTCGTAAAGTAGCAGCAGATAACGTTCTTTTCAGGGTGTTAGATATTCTCTTCCATAGGATTGTTGGCTACATTCATTTATATCATCTTCTTCGACACAGAGATGGATTTACAATTAAAAGCGTTCTCTGAGCTGGTTGGTTTAGTCGCGAAGCTTTCGTCATCCTTCCGGACAACATCTTCAGCGCCATATTTAGCACGAAGTGAAATGATTTAAATTTCCTCATGCGTGATGTAATTGCGTCTCCTGGTTACTATCTTCACATATGTATTGACCACTTTCTATTGACTAGGATTTGAAACTTTTTGGTCACCTGATTTACTTTTTATTAATTGGTATATTTCATCTATATTAACGTGTTTGTTAATCGCATTTTCGCTTGAGTACCAGGCCTCTAGGAATTCTCTGGCACTTTTCGTGTTTCCTCTGTTTAAGATTTTGACATGATCCCAATCAAACTGATGACCATAGTTGTCTGCATGCATTGATACTAAAGAATACATATCATGTCTTTTCACGGCTGATTTATGTTCTTGGATTCTGATTCGAAGGGGACGCCCACTTTGGCCGATATAATGCTTGTTACAGTTCATACAATTTATTTTGTAGATGGTTGTTGTTGGGTTGTTCTTTGTTCATTTTCAGCTTCATTTGTCTATCTATAAGGTGTGATGGATAGTCCTTCTCAAGTAGTGTCTTCCTCAAAAGACTGATCTCTTCTTCTACTGATTTGGGTCTGCAGATTTTATGGATTCTAGTCTCAGTAGATATTGTCAGGTTCCGCTTGCAATTAATGAGTACCCAACTCTAAATGTTTGTAAACTGGCCATTCCACGTTGGCTATCCATCAGTACTGCGTCAGCAGTACATATCAGTGATTCTACCAGGGATTGAAATCAGGACTTGCTGACGACTGAGCTACTGCGGTGGAATCCAATAGCTTATGGATGGTAAATTCTGCCAGTGGCTGGCAAAGTGACAAAGGTTAGAATTCGCAGTTCGTCAGATTCAAACCCAAGGTTTGCATACTCAACGGGCACACCTCATGTTCTAAAGGTTCTGGGTTCGATTCCCAATGAAGTCATGGATATGTACTGCCGGAGATTGTCAAACTAGAAGGAAGCAGTTCACTGTCTAGTACTATCTTTAATGTTCAGTTCAAAAACTCTACTTAAATAGTTTTGAGTAGTATTTACTTGACACAATATTTTCCTATATCTCTATTTATGTCTATAACTTTTATTTGCTACCTTCTAGATGGCGCATACAAGTCCATTTCAAGTGACTATTTCTCCTCTTTGTATGAGGAAAGATTTTATTAGCATCACTAACAGTATAACATCGACTACAAATACTGCAAATACCAATTCAACTACTCCTACTAATGTTACTACTGATAATAACATTGCCAACAGTAATCTCGTTATCAATCCAACAAACATAGTTGTAACACCAGCTCATTTACTCACCCTACTACCTGGTGCTATCCCACCTGAAACCACACTGTACTTTTATGGTAAAATAACACGTGAACAAGCTGAAGAATTATTATTTAAACATGGCGCCAGTGAAGGTCTCTTTCTGTTGAGAGAGTCTGTAAATAGAAATTATGCAGTGTCGATATGTCATATGGGTCGTGTACATCATTATAATGTAGAAAGACAAACAGATTGTTCATATAGGATACAAACAGGTGAGTTAACTTTTTTTCCTTATTTGGTCTTAACAATATGAAGTAATCTGCTTAATACAATTTACACTTTTGCCATCAATTGATTGGACCAAAGTGTTCCGTCTCAGGTGGACATGTTGGCTCCTTGTACAAATACTACGACGATGTTTGGCCATGTAATCTGATGTCAACTGGTGGATGATGACTAGCAGTGGAATCTAGGATAAAAAGCATTTCGTCCCATTTGGGACTCGTCACTGAACTGAATTAAATAATTAATAAGACTCATGGCACAAGAGGTGGTTCTCGTGGCCTAAGTAGTCTAGTGGATAACGTTTTGGCTTTTAAAACTAATGGAATTGGACTCAAACCTCGTTGAGGACACCATCACTGATATCACTGGCGTCCGGTTAGCTGATGAGTCCCATATGGGACGAAGTGAGTATCCTGCTCAGCAGTTTTCTCCGTCTTCCTCAGTCGCTGTGAAACAAACCATTGAAAGCGGAAGAAATGAAGAGGCTAACTAGCTACCTTTGATCTTAGACGTCTGCGTTCTATCTCCCATGTTAGGAGTGGTATCATAAGGTGAGCGATATTTAAGTTAGGCATCGGTCGAGTTCTAGGTAAGCAGCGAGAATCTACCGATGAACCTGTAAAGCTATGCCAGCTGAGGTGGCCAGGACATGTGTCACGCATGCATGCCCAGTGATCGGCCTCTTCGATGATAATCGTTAGTTGACATTGGATGGATCACTTTGGAAAAGAGCTAGCACGTGTTGGCAAAACCAAAATATGGCCTCATTAGTCAATCGAATTCGTAACATTTAGTTTTAGCCGGCCAGCCAGCCACTTAAGGAGGTATAGACTCCTTGCCTGTCTACCTGGCTGAGGTCGTCGCAATGAAAAACTTTCCGTGATCAACTCGTAAAAAAATCTAATCCTTACAAACCAACTTTTGAAGACATTTAAGTTAGAATTGCACCAGCCCCAAAGGACAGGTAGCTGACCCGATTCTGAAGACGAATACTAAAAGCTCAAGGGGGATTTGTCAACTTCACATCATTTCCGGTATAGAAGTAATATCTAGCAACTAATCAAAAGAGGTATGTACTGCTCAGTAGTTCGATCTGTCCTCCTTTATGGATATGGTGAGTCGACAGTAAAAGTGAAATAAATGAAATGGCTAGTTGTCTTAGACCACAGATGTTTACGTCCTGTCTACCGTGAGTAGTTCTGAGGTGCAGCATAGGATGTTAGGTAAGAAGAGTAATTCAATTGATCAGATTGTGAGGTGACATCCTCCGAGTGCATCTGGAGCCATTGACTTATTCGACGAGCAGTGTTAGTTGACATAGGATCAACTTAGAAAAGAGGTAGTGACGATTAAACCGAAAACCTCTCATAAGTTCCGTTGAGTCACGTAGAAAGCGGATACTTCCTGTTTCGCATCCTCAGGACGCTTAGAAACAATGATCTGAGACTATTGGTGAGACAGATCAAATCGTTTTCATTGGCGCCTTGCAACCGGAAGGTCCTGGGTTTGAACCTCAATGAGGGTGGGTGTGTAGTGCCGATGATTCCCAATCTAGGATGAAACAGAGATATCTGTTGAGTACTCCAGTACTGGTTTTCAATGGTTCTCTTAATGATATCAATCCATGGTCAAACTCGTATAAACAAATGTAATCCTTACAAACCAGTATATATATATAGAAAATCAAAATAAATGATTCAGCGAAGAGACTCTTTTCAACGAATTTATTATCGAGCTGTACAATCGTATGCATATATGGTTTTTAAGAAGTTATATCCGGCGAGGGAATTGCAACATAGGTGTGAATGCATAAAATAATAATAATAATATGAAATGCAATTAAAACTAAAATGCTTGTGATTATAATCGTAGTTAAATGTCAAGTGGCAAAGCAAATTAATGTCATATATAGAAAAATTCATAGGAAGGATAGAACTTGAAAAAGGGTGTGCAATTATAAGATTAGTAGACAAATCGAAAAAATAAAAACGTTACGTAATATTGTGTGAAATTTAATGGCATAGAATTTAATGTTGTAAAAAAGAATTGATTTAGAATGACAAGTGGAACAAGTGAAATAATACCGGGGACAATTAAAAGTGAGAGTAGTAATAGTAACAATTGACGTAATAAGGAAGAGTATACAAATTGAATAGACAAAATTGAAAAATGAAAAATTGGTAGAGCTAAAATATGATTGGGGATTACCATACTTTAGTATAGAGGGATTAAGACCATGAAAGTTGGAGGGGTTGAACGAACTTTTTCTGTACACAGAGATCTGGCTTTTCTGTTTCGATAGCCAAAGCTTCAGCAATACAGATGAGTCGGGTACGTAGGGATTTGGGTGGATTACTGTTTGCCTTGTAGATGACTTTGAAGGCGGAGGCTATAGAGATAGGATGATCATTATCGACCAGATGTTCAATGATGGCGCTTCTTATTGCTCCACTACCACCTTTTCGTAACCATGCAGGATAGTGTTCTTGCACCCTCTTGGACAAAACTCGTGTCGAATATATCTAACAGCGATTGTAAATGAATTTGGGGAAAAAAGTATTTTTACTGAAGTGTTTGTTCATATTGATGTATGTTCGCGAAAAAAATGAATATTTATATACCCACATATATTTGAGGTTTCAAGTTTCTCCAGAAATCTCGACTATTTAAATGTGAGTTGAATTCACCAACAGATCGAGAGAGAGCTGTGAGTAGTTATCCTTTGATGATGCTTGGATTTTTCAATAATTCCCCTACTCTAACTCCGTTTTTGTGTGTGTTTGTATTTGTAATATGTTGATTCGTCACGAAATCTAAACGCTAAGAAATTTATATTGAAAGGTTAGAAAACATAATAGTAGTAGTAGTATGAAATTAGAAAATTAAGCAATAGAGGCTGGATGTGGGAAACAATACACCCCCCCCCCATCAGCACCACTTGCTTTACGCATAATTCTTATTTATGTCTGCGCTGTAAAAAGTGTTTAGAGCGATAAACCACGTAAAAGATGCATTTGCAACAAAGAAATGGTTTATTTATCTCTCTCTGCTATGCTATGCTGTTATTATTATTTTTCAAGAGTTTGGTTTGTAAGGATTAGATTTGTTTTTACGATTGTGGTCATGGATTGATATCAGTCAAAGAACCATTGAAAACCAACACTGGAGTACTGGACAGCCGGCTGTTTCATCCCAGTTTGGGAATCGTCAGCAGTACGCACCCACTTCACAGGGGGTTCGAGCTCAAGACCTTCCGGTTACAAGACAAGCTGGCTCGTATACCATTTAACCACTGGGACCTGGCTCAATGGCCAGCACATGAATCCTAACTTCTACCAATTCGTGATGCATTTAGCTCGACTGGCACCAACCAATGACATCGGTGGGAAATCCATCCTTATTCCGTTGAGTTTTGAGTAGAACACAGAACAGCTGTAATGTTTTAGGTTTCATTTAGTGGTGATAATCATAGAAAAGAGATATATAATTCAGATGGGTGCTTTTGATTTGATTCTATTCTATGAGTTATTCAAGTATTGATTTGTAGCGATTTTATTGATTGGTTACAGGATTTCATCATGATGAGCTGACATCGGTTAGAGAACCATCGGAAAACCTTCAGAGAGTACTGGACTTGTGGGAAGTCGTTACCAGAGAGTGGGGTAGAGCACGTCGGTTGTGAGGACAAATACTCACCGCGGAGGACATGGGTTAGCGGTCACGCTATATCGTGAATCGGTAGAAGTTGGAATTTATGAGCTGGCCAGTGGATTGGATCCCAGTGGCTGAATGGTCTACGAGCTAGCTCACCTTGTAACCGGAAGGTCCTGGGTTCAAAACCTGGTGGTGGGTGCGTACTGCTGAAGAGTTCCAAACTAGCTTGAGACAGCTGCCCAGCACTCCAAGTTGGTTTTGTAAGGATTTCGTTTGATTGGATGGAGGATTTCATCATAAGCTGATATCATTTAGAGAACCACTGGAAAACCTTGGAGTACTGGACAACTGTTTCGTCCTAGTTTGGGGAGCATCTGCAGTAGGCATCCAACGTGGTGTCAGCTGATGATGAAATCCTCCATCCAATCAAACAAAATCCTTACAAAACCAATACTTGAAAATTGACCTGATGCTCACTAGTGACTGCCCCAATTCAGGCAGCTAACTGGTGTTCTATTGGGAAGCCGTGGCCAGTAGTGTACAGTAGGTTAAAGGCGAGGCAGTAACTCATAGAAGAAAACATTGCGAAGTTGTCGCGTTAAATCATGCGTGAATTGGCATAAGTTAAAATTCGTGGACTATGCTGGCCATTGGATCGGGTACCAGTGGCTGAACGGTCTACGAGCTAGCTCGCCTTGTAAGCACAAGGTCCTGGGTTCAAAACCTGGCGGTGGATGCGTACTGCTGAAGATGCCTAAACTAGGTTGAAACAGCTGTTCAGTACTCCCAGCAGGTTTTCCAGTGGTTCTCTAAGTGACGTCAGCTCATGATGAAATCCTCAATCCAATATATATATATATATATATAATTCCTTCACGTCCCCAGTGGAGCATAGGGCTTCAAGCTAGAGGCTTGAAGTTTCGGTAGGAGTGGTGTTTTATTTTTACAGAATGAGGTTGCTAGCCTCATGTCCAAGCTTTCTTTTTTACCAGCTTCTTTTAATATTGGCTTAGCGAGGTAAAGGAGTGCGTCGGCGGGGGATCGAACCCTGGACCATATGCGTTGTAAGAAGGCGTCCTGACCACTATGCCATCAGCGCATACATACATATATATGAAAACAATAGAGTTAAGAGGTGAGAAAATAGACTTCAGTGAAGTTAAAAGAATATATTTATCAAGGAAGGTTTAGTATAATGACAAATTGTTTCCGATGAACGCATAAAGGTGGTTTAAACTTTCTAATTGACAGCTAGATCTTCCACAAACTTTAGGATATACCCTCCCCCAAACACATTCTATAAATAGGCCTTTAGAAGACGTGCAAACATCAATTTTTATGTAATTTCCAAATTCCCATTTACGCATTTCTAAAAAACAACAGATTGAGCAAAGAAACAATGCATTCCTTTTCATTTAGTTCCTTATCATCGATTCTACACTAATATATAGTATTTTTCATCAACATAATTACCAATCAAGTGGTTATTTTAGAAAATCAGTTTTAGGCATAATGGGGAGGGTGAAATTAAGAGGTTAAAGATCATCAAAACAAGATATTCAAGTTTTAAGGGAGGGACGAAGATTAATTACGGAATTCAAGGTAAGCTGATTCTTAGGCGTTAGCAGTTTTATGTCCTGCTTCAATTATATGTTTCTCTATAGAGCAGTTATATCATCTGTTCTCATCGTTTAAGGGTTCTGGAGATTCAATTTGTTTCTGAAGCTATTTGTGAATATGTTCTGAGTGATGTTACTTACAGAGATCGATGAGTCCTCCATATTTATGTGTGTCCACACGGAGTTTTTCCGAATGTTCAAAGGGCTTAGGTAGATATATCGGCTTCATATTCCCAATTATTCTGATTTTGGTAACAAAAAAATTCTTTTTAACCATAGCGTTCAGCGGTTGTCAATTTACCAAGCTGCTATGATCACCCATACAGAGTAGCTTGATGCACATATTGGTTTTAGTCGCAAGTAAGAGAATGGGTCTTGGTGTTCTGACCAACATGTATCTCCGTTTGAACCCCTCTGGTCTTTGCAAGTTAGTGCTTCAGAGCATATTCCTAAATAGCTTAAGAAGCAAGTAGAATCCCCAGAGACCTAGCTCCTCCACTGCAAAAAGTATTATAGTGGGAGGATTTAAAATTGACGTTTACACATCTTTTAAACCTAACTGTAAAACGTGTTTGGGGTGTATCCTAAAGTTTATGGAAGCCCTAGCTGTCAATTAGGAAGTTCATACCACCTATATGCGTTCAAAGCAACAATTTGTCATCACACTAAACCGCCTTCCTTGCTAAACTTTGTTTTGATACCTTTCTTCTTTGGTTTAGTGGTCTTCATTCTTATTTTGACCTTCAATATGTGCTTTAAACTTGACCTTAATTTAGTTTCTCACCTCTTAACTGTTTATTATTTTCGCATGTGTAGATTCCCATGATAAGTCCGTGTATTATCAGATTGACTTGGAATCCCCTACGGGATATCACTTCCTTCGAAGTAGCAGTTAATGCCTGCTGACAAGTATACAAACATATCCTTTAGTATTACTATGCGTCTTGAAGGTGGATAACATCCAGTGGTTAACGCTGAAAGCTTTGTAGATACACGTCGAAGCTATGAAAGTAATCTAAAATTTTTTATATTACAATTAGTCTTTATTTAAGTAAAATTTCTACATTGAAGTCAATTGGTTGATAGTGACTAGCAGTGGAATCCAGCCACGATAACACGCATTTCGTCCTATTTGGGACTCGCCAGCTAACTGGATATACCTACATTCCCCAGTGATTCAGTGATGGTGTTCCCGACAGACATCATCGAAGCATCTGCACAAGGAGCTGCTGACACATGTAAACCTGAGACCGGTCGACTTCGATCCAATCAGTCGACGGGAAAATCTTCAATGAAGACATGTTGCATAGGAGGGAGCTGTGGTGGCTCAAGTGGTCTAGTGGACAACACTTTGGTTTTTAAAAGTATGGGCACTAGGTTTGAGTCTCGGTGGGGGGGAACAGCATCACTGACTCCCTGGGGAATGCAGGTACATGCAGTTGGCTGATGGGTCTGAAGTGGGACGAAACACGCGTCACTATCCACCAGCTGACTCCAAGTTACATGGCTAGGCATTGTCGAAGCATCTGCACAAGGAGGAGCCGTCGACACATGTCAAACTTAGACCGAACATTTCAGTCAATCAATCGACGTTGAAAAATCTAAAATTGAAAAAATACCCATTTCTACATTAAAAGGCTTTCTCATCTATTTCCATTCACACTTCTATTGTTGTTTTTTTCTGTGTTTTTTCTCTCTCTACAGGTCATAAATTTATTGGTCCAGTTGAATTAGTTCAACATCATTCAACTCAGTTAGATGGTTTCCTTACATTAGCCAAGCTTCCATTGAATCGTCCACAAGGTGTTTCACCCATCGTATTACAAGGATTAAACTCCGATGAATTGGAAAAGTGTTTACGCGTGAAAGCTACAGAAATGGGATTGAAAGTAAGTCGAATCAACCTATCTAAATAGGAAGGGATATGTTAGTTTATATACACAAAAATGTAACCTGTTGACATTATCTTGAACATGATCTTATTATTGACAGGATCAAATGACATTGATCTGATCTGTTGATTAGTGTGAAAAGCAAAACGAATTCTTGGTTTTTGTTGCTGCTTTTCCTTTTAGATTTGTACAACCCTATGTGTATGTCGATGTTTGTTTGTATATGTGTGTTTGTTGATGTTTTCAAGAAGTATAGACCAGATAAAACACCGTTTTTACATCCCACGCAAAGATCAATAAATATAAAGGTGCCAAATACGTCCGCTGCATGTTTCTCGACTTCACTTCTGCTTTCGACTCTGTACCTAGATGTCTCTTGTTAATTAAACTCTCTATGATAAAAACTGAGTCCTAGGTCACTAACTGGTTGCATTCCTACTTCTATAACAGAAAGCAGTACACCGTATAAAAGGTAAATCCTCCTCTGCTGCGCTCACTGAAGCTGGTGTCCCGCAAGGTGCCGTACTCTCCCCACTTATCTTTTCTTTCTTTCTACATGACTTACCATCTTCAAATGACATTAATTTTGTCAAATATGCTGAATAACCTGACTGTATCTTTACCTGTCAAATGTCAAAGTGACTGCTCTAAACTTAATGGCTTTCTGTCAGAAATCAGCTAGTGGTCCAAGGAAATCGGTCTTAACTGAAATCCCTCTAAATGCAAACAGTCAATTTCACCTTGAGGCATAAATCCGACCTAAACAAACTGGTTGGCTCTCACGAAGTGTGCAACATTGATGGCATTGAAATAGAAACCAAGTCGGAAATTAAATACCTAGGCGTCATTCTATCTGCTGATCTTTCCTGATCCTCTCATATCTTAGCGATTTCTAAGAAAATATTCCGTCTTACCTTCTACATCAAGAAGTTAATACATTCCGGTATAACCCGACCCTTACTCCTACAATCTGTTAACTTTCGCATACTGCCTATTATTCTCTGTTGTTCCCCCTTAGTTTTTCCCGGTCTACTGAAGAAAGACTATAACATCATATTACGCATTATGTTAAAGGTTGTCAGCAGGGTAAGCAACGTGCCACTTAACCAGCTTGTTAATATACTGGTCGACAGGCACATAGACTCATGTGATTAATGGGCCAAATCCATTTTATCTAACTCACACCACCCTCTTCACTCACAACTCTCCCCTTGCATCTCATCAGTCAAAACCAGAAGTCTGTGTAGAAAACTATATGCTCGCACTAGCAAGTACAAAAACTCAACCATACCCTACTTAGATTGTGTTCTGTGCGATAAAGAAAGCATTAGGCGTGACACCTATAATTCATTAAATAGTCAGTAGAACAACTGGATCTCGTCTTTCCAACTCATATCATTTATAGGTACAACATTTTCTTTCTTTCTTTTCCTTTTCTCTCTCTTTTTTTCTTTTATTCCGTTATGTTCTGCTTTGTTTCTTTCTCTCGCTTACGCCAGTAAATATGATAGCACCTACTTTTCTAAAACCTTCAAACACTGTTCAACTTTGGCTTTGCTAGCGACATGCCAATATGTTGTTGTCATAATGAACTGAGATTTCTTTAATCTATGTAGAATTATGTAGAATTCTATTTATTGATAATCTACTAACTGGATGCAATACTGTAGTAAAAAATGCTGAGAATTCCATTCTGTATCACAAGTACTGTTTTGGAATAAAGCAAATTATTATTATATATCATTGGGGTATGAATGGAGACCTGTGACTTTGAGCTCAGCGCAAGAAATGCGTCCAAATCCTCGATGGGGACAACAGTACTTTTGAGTTCCATTAATGCTAATAAGCAAGAAATCTGGGTTCAGCCATGATTTCCCGCCGATAGCGGGTTCCAAGTGGAACATAGAGCTTCAACAAATAAATCTCCATTTTATCCTGTTCTAGGTAATCCTCTTTAGTTGACTCAATGATCGCTCATAGACTGTCCTCTCCTCCTCTGTGTAACTCTCGGACTAATGCCCAACTCGTCGTTTCCCCTTTCGGTTTCTACTCGAGGTTATGTTTGGCACGCGTGATATCACTCTGTAACGACAGAAGATAAGGGCGAGGCAACAGATCGTTTATTGAGAAAATCAACGTATATTTATATATTTTTATTTACATTATTATAGGTTATTGTTAGCAGAGAAACAGCGTCCTCTGATTGGTTGTTCTCCCACTGGAAGTTAATCTGCCATCTCTTTGTGGTCATTTATTTGAAGGTCATACCATATATATGCGAATTGCATCCGCTCACGCAAAGTCTTTGTTCTTGTTATTCTTTTCCCATGACCAAGATTTGGGGGATGTAAACACTGACGTAAATTACTGTCTACTGATTTCGGCTGGCAGACAGCTCTCACCACAACTCAACTGTCTTCTCAGAATGCGTTCGATCCATCTCCATTTCCCCTTCATTATATTTGTTGGGTAATAGTTTCTCGGCTGGTTCGTTCTTATAGTACTAATGGACTTAACCCTAACTCATTTCAGAGACTCAGGGATTGACTTGCTACCAGGGAATAATCTCGTTGACTCAGAATATGCAGACGATATAGTCCTTCTAGGCGAGGACGCTGACAAAATACAGAGTCTTCTGAACACCTTGAGCAGCAATCTTCGTAAGTTTGGCATGCGATTCGCCCCTGTAAAATGTAAGATGATGCTGCTGCAGGATTGGACTACACCGACTCCTAGATTAGAAATAGGAAGTGAAGTGGTAGAGCACGTTGACCGCTTCGCTTATATGGGAAGTACCATCAGCCAGTGCCAACGGGTTGATCTCTGATGAAATCTCAGCACGAATACAGAGGACTAGTTTCGCATATGCCTACCAGTTTACGCCGTCTCTGGCGTAGACGTGATATCCGGCTGGCTATCGACCAAAGAAAGTGTGTACTGCTCAGCAGTCCGCTCCATCCTCCTTCATTATGGCTGTGAGATCTGGCCATTGAGAGCAAAAGACATGAAAAGATTATCTGTGTTCAATCACAGGTGTCGGCGTTCTATCTCCCGCGTGAAGTAGTATAATAAGGTGAGCAATATTGAGGTTAGGCGTTGAGTGCTAGGTAAGGCGGGGAAATCAGTCGACGAGGCTGTGAAATTACATTGACTGAGATGGTTGGGATATGTGTTACGCATGCATGCCTAATCATCGCCCTCCTCGACAACGGGCAATGTTAGCTGATATAGGGTCAGGCTGGAAAAGAGCTAGCGGCTGTCAAACGAAAACATGGCACCAGTCAATGAAATCTACAACAGTTAGTCTAGGCCACGTAGGAAGATGTAGACTTCCTGACTGATTGGTCGGGGTCCTCCGGACGGTAAAAACCAATGGTTGGGAACAACAGGTGACATGGCTCAAAATCGTTCTCAATGGTGCAGGCAGATGCATCCACTCCTTGTGACTTATGATTTCCAATAAAACTTTTGTTCTTCGTTATTAATATTCCTTTGTCTCACACCTCTGTTTACTCTCTGTGTTATGCATTTCTCCTACTTTCTTCTCTTGCTTTGTGTGCCACATGGAGTTTGGTGACTTGAACTGCCGCACACATGTTTAAATTTCTATGTTGAAAACAGACAGACAGACATAGTTCCATATTACTAGTCCTTTATGGCCAGGCGTGTAATTTTTAATATCCAGAAGAGACGATTGGTGAAAGTTTGAATTCTATTGGTGATACGCCAAGTTGCTTAACCATAAAGAAGCACTGACTTGATATTAGTGCTGAAGATCACAGTCTTTTTCTTTATGCTAAGTGGAGTGGAGTTCAAAAGTGATTTCAGAGTGTTGAAAGTTTCTCATGCCTTTCCGATTCTAATTTTGATATCTTCATCCGTTCCGACTGTCTGTGGTTGAAACAATGCTTCCTAGATAGGTGATGGATATTACCTCTTTCAAATTATTTAGGCTGATGATGATTGCTGGTAGTTTTGTTGCTATTAACTTGTTGGCTGGTTATTCACATCACATCACATCCTTCTTCTCCATGTTCACTTGAAGTGTTGTCTTCAGTGTTTGTCTCTTTTGCCAATATGTTGGATCTCACCTGTAGATATTCAAGGATATATGATATTAGACATAAATTATCTGTGAAATCCAGAACTTCTAGAGTCTTTCTTATCCGTTCAATATACTCCTATCTTCTTGTTCCCCCTTGACACAGCGTACCGCATAATCCGGCCCACTACAACTAGAAATTTCATCGTTGGTGATAGTAGACAAGTCTTTTTTTCTGTGTTCACTTCGAAGGTTCCACTGATTTTCCTACTATGGATCCCTTGACATGTTGAATGAGGTGTTTTCTTTTTGATGTTTGTGTAGCTAACCTCCTCGCCGAACCTTCCCTCTATCTCCAGGCCTGGGAACAGCTAGTAAACTACCCGTGGTTACTTTTTTTCCCTTCATGTTCCCAGTGAAGCATAGTACTTCAAGTTAGAGGCTTGAAGTTTCTGTAGCAGTGTTTACTTTTACAGGATGGGGTTGCTAGCCTCATTAATATATACGCAGGGGAATCATTAATATTCATTATTTATTTCACACATTAGCATAATCATTGATTTCACGCATCTGCGTGATTATTGATCTAAATTACTGAATCCCCAAGGTCGTTAATATTTTTAAAAGGTGACATTGATTTTTCTAATTGTATAAATACGGAGTTGTTGTTTAACATTTTTGACTGTTGTTTGAGACAGTAAAAGCTCTCATATCAACGTCCAGTCTTCTCTTTTATTTGTCTTGCGTGCCCGGCGGTATTATTGTTGTTGTTGTTGACGTGCGATTAAGACAGATTAGCCAGCGCATTAGTTAGATTCGCTCGTAGTCTACAAGGTCCTCATATTCACATACATAACAAATTTGGCGACGGGTTTGCTGAAGATGGACCCACTGCGTTTAGAGAAACTAATGGAACAGCAGCTAAAATTGATGGAAATGCTTGCTGGTCTGCAAA